TAACTATATCATTATAACAATGTTAAAAGAGAAATTATAAACTGGACAATGTGTGAATTTCATACAGTAAAATAGACAAACTATCTTAATGTATATACAGTTTTATTGTGTAAAGAATAAAATACGCTTTATATTAAACCTTATGTATTTAATTTTATATATCTCTCTATATTAAACATTATAGTATATAGAATAGTTTTTTTTTTTTTTTAATTTTCTTTTGAGGCAGGGTCTTGCTCTATCCCCCAGGCTGGAGTACAGTGGTGTGATCATGGCTCACTGCAGCCTGGACAACCCGTGCTCAAGCGATCCTCCTGCCTCAGCCTCCCAGGCAGCTGGGACTACTGGCGCACACCACCACACCTGGCTACCTGGCTTATTACATTTAAAAAAAAATGACACAATAAAAGGCCAGGTGCAATAGCTCATGCTTGTAATCCCCAGCACTTTGGGAGGCCAAGGCAGAGGATCATGTGAGGCTAGGAGTTCAAGACCAGCCTGGGCAACGTATCGAGACCCCCATCCCCAAAAAAAAAAAAAGAGATTAGCGAGGCATAGGGGTGCACAGCTATAGTCCCAGCTACTTGGGAGGCTGAGGTGGGAGGATTACTTGAGCCCAGGAGTTCAAGTCTGCAGTGAGCTAATCATTATCATTTTCCTACTGATTAGTGATATTGACTGCCTTTTCATGTGTTTATTGGCCATTTGTATATTTTCTTTGGAGAAGTGTGCATTCAAGTCCTTTGCCTACTATTTAATCAAGTTGTTTGTTTTGTTGCTGTTGTTGAATTGGGAGTTGGTCACATATTCTGGATATTCACCACTTAGCAGATATGTGATTGGCAAATATTTTCTCTCAGTCTTTGGGTTGCCTTTTTACTCTGTTGATCAGGTTTTTTGATGTACAGAAGTTTTTCGTTTTTATATACTCCAATTTATTTATTTATTTTCATTTGTTGCCTGTGCTTTTGATGTCATACCAAGAAATCATTGCCAAATCCAATGTCATGAGGCTGTTCCACTATTTCCTCCTAATAGTTTTATAGTCTTAGGTCTTAAGGTCTTAAGATAGAATGAATAAGTCTACAGATCGAATGTGCAGCATGAGAACTAACTATAGTTCATGATGTTATATACTGAAGATTTGTTAGGAGAGTAGGTTTTAGGTGCTGTCAACATATACATACACACAGGTAACTGTGGGAGGTGATGAATATGTAAATTTATTTAACTGCAGCAATTTTACTATGTATATGTACAGTAAACCATCGTATTGTACACCTCAACGTCAACTGCCTTCTTGGGAACACATAAGACATGAAATTGTGTTTATGCCATTTTGTTCTCTATGTATGTGTTTCATTGATTTTTACCTGAGGATGACCTATTGTAGTAAAAATATGGCACATTTTCCACTTTAATAGGGTTTCAGAATGTTAGTAAATCTTTCCTTACTCTCAGTTCTGCCATTTAGTATCTTGAGGAGGAGCTGATTTTTGACATGAACACCTGTTTTAAACTGTGCTGTGTTATTCTGTTATTTTAACACAGGCTATATTGACAGATGATACGATTTACTCAAGAGATTTTACCTCAGAGCTTTATTTTTCTATTTACTATGGAGTGTTTTTCAGCATTCCATAGTCAGAAATAAGCCTGGCACCTAGAAAGTCAGTCTGATTGTGAAACCTGCTATGATACTCAGTTTCAAGTTCCTCACTGTATTTTTATCAGTAGATTATTATGTATTTAGAGGAGAACATTTCCTTCTAAAATATGTAAAAATTAAAAATGTTTTATGTGTCACTTTTTAAAGGTTACAGTCTTCTTCATACCTTGATGATTCGAGTCCAACAGATTTAATGAAAGATACTAACACTGTGAACTGCAGGAATGTAAGTATACTTGTAAATGATAATATTCATGAAATAAATGAACAATAAAATTTGCCCCTTGTTGATTATTTCTTTTAAGAAAAGAAGTCATTCTGTCAAAAAAAAAAAAAAAAAAACATTTTGGTCACTCAGTGATTTTTAAGTGGCTTTGTTGCATAGTAAAGAGTGAAGTTGCTGTGAACATAGTATCTGAGTCCCAGTTATGACACTTACTGGGATGTAACCTTGGGCTTTTACTTAAACTCTCTGTACCTCAATTTTCTCATTCGTAAAGTAGGAATAAGAATATCATTGATCTCCTAGAGGATTGTGAGAATTAAGAGCTTAAATACATAAACAAAAACTGTTACAACAGTGCCTAGCACACAGTAAGTGCTCAATAAATGGTAGCTCTTATTATTGTTATTGTAATAGGTTCCAATTTAGTAGATTAAAGCTACTCCTTGAGGTTTGAAAAAAAAAGTTTAAATAATATAAGCCAGGAGATAAATACCACATACTACTTAATTCAGTTGAACAAATACTAGCTATTTGAAATGCATTATTGTATATACAAAAATTACTAAACCTAGTGCTATCTGGAAGACTAAAATACAATATAATTCTAATTTAGCACAGACAACAAAAAGCTCTAAAGCAGATATGTAAATCAAGCAGTGTCAGACTACAGGAGAAAAGAGAAATTTTATCTGACCAGGGACAAACAGAAACTTAAAAATACAAATACCAGAGCCAGGCATGGTGGCTGTGCCTATAATTCCAGCTACTCAGGAGGCTGAGGCAGGAAGATCACTTGAGGCCAGGAGTTCAAGACCAGCCTGGGCAATATAGTGAGACCTCCTTTCTAAAAAAGATTTTTAAAAATACTAGCCAGTAATGGTGGCCCATGCCTGTAATCCCAGCTACTGCAGGAGGCTGAGGCAGGAGGATCACTTGAGTCTGGAAGTTTGAGGCTGAAGTGAGCTATGATCACACCACTGCACTAGCCTGACTGGCAGACTGCAACTGTCTAAAAGCAAAAACGAAAATATAAATGTCATGTCTTTTTACACAAATATCATGTCTTCTGCTTTATTATTTATTCATTTACTCATACAGTTAGCACATGTTTATTGGGTATCCATTTTGTGCGAGGTAGTATGCGAGAAACAGATTTATGTGGTAGTAAAAATGTCTAAGTAGT